ATCCTTAAGTATTTCACAGGTCTAACATCACATCTTCACATTTTTTTGCTGACACAGAAGTACTTATATTCTCAATGAAACAGAGCCTGGAATAGTAACTGGACTTGATTTTAGAAGCCACCATGCTGCTCGGACCGGGAAGCTACCTTTTCCTCTAACAGCTGAGAGGTACGGGTAACTGAATTATACTCTCTCTACTTTATGCTCTATTTAGCATAAAATTTACTTATCCTATCAGTAACAATATTCCTTGTTACCAGTTCAGCTTTTTTTTTTGTTGAGTTTCTATGAAGAACTGTCAAAAGCTTTTCAGGCAACGGAGCTCTGGGACCTGGTATACTAGGTGAGCACATTTTATAGTTCCAGCAAGGCCCCGGCAACACAGGAACCTTCACAATTACCTGTCAGGGTACACAGAGTTCAAGCAGAAAAATATAATTTAAAGGTGAATTTAGGTGAATTGCGAACTGGCCAGATGGCAGAGCTCAGAGGGTTGTGGTCAGTGGTGCAAAGTCTAGTTGAAGGCCTATAGCTAGCGGTGTCCCCCAGGGGTCAGTCCTGGGTCCAGTCTTGCTCAACATATTCCTCGATGACCTGGATAAAGGCACAGAGTGCACTCTCAGCAAGTTTGCTGATGATACTAAACTGGGAGGAGTGGCTGGCACACCAGAAGACTGTGCTGCCATTCAGAGGGACCTGGACAGGAGAGCTGGGCGGAGAGGAACCTCCTGAAATTCAACATAGTCAAGTGCAAGGTCCTGCCCCTGGGGAGGAATAACCCCAGGCACCAGGACAGGCTGCAGGCTGGCCTCTGGAAGAGGCCTCTGGCCTCTCTGCAGAGAAGGACCTGGGAGTCCTGGTGGACAAGTTGACCATGAGCCAACAATGTGCCCTTGTGGCCAAGAAGGCCAATGGTCTCCTGGGGTGCATTAGGCAGAGTGCTGCCCGCAGGTCGAGGGAGGTGATCCTGCCCCTCTACTCAGCCCTGGGGAGGCCTCACCTGGAGTCCTGTGTCCAGTTCTGGGCTCCCCACTACAAGAGAGACATGGCACTCCTGGAGAGAGTCCAGCGGAGGGCTACCAAGATGATGAGGGGACTGGAGCATCTCTCCTGTGAAGAAAGGCTGCGAGAGCTGGGCCTGTTGAGCCTGGAGAAGAGAAGACTGAGAGGCGATCTCATCCATGTCTACAAGTATCTGAAGGGAGGGTGTCGAGAGGATGGGGCCAGGCTCTCCTCCGTGGTGCCCAGCGACAGGACGAGAGGCAACGGGCACAAACTGCAACACAGGCAGTTCCATCTGAACCTGAGGAACAACTTCTTTCCTGGGAGGGTGACAGAGCACTGGAACAGGCTGCCCAGAGAGGTGGCGGAGTCTTCTTCGCTGGAGATTTTCAAAACCCCCCTGGACGCGATCCTGGGAAACATGCTCTAGAGGACCCTGCTGGAGCAAGGGCGGTTGGCCTAGGCGATCTCCAGAGGTCCCTTCCAACCTCGACCATCCTGTGACCCCGTGATTTCTCTGAACTGACAGGAGGGAAAAACGTTACTGGTGAATTGCCATACCTACAATCCTCAGATGCACATTACCAAAGGTTTTGTTTATTTTAAGTGCAGCAAGAACTGCTTTAATTTCCTTATAAAGATTCTACAGCACAGGGTAACATCTCCCTTGGGAAGTGAATACGGAAAGAGATTCAAAATCTTGGTATCTTCTTTGCTGAGATGGGTTGAATGAGTCAGTGCTTTATAATAACATGCATTAATATGCATGGCCACTTCTGTTTCATCAATAAAAAGCCAAAGAACTTAAACAATTAAAGACAGAAACAGCTTCAGTTATGCATACACATAAGTTTTAAATTTGCTGGTAGGTCTACAGTCCTGGAAAAGGCTACTTCCAAATAAAATTATCTGGAGAAAATATACATAAGTACATTGTGCACTTGACACAAAACCATATGCATATTTTATACTGATCAAATGTTACTTATTACATCTTCCATCTTTCCCAGTCTGAGGGACGCTTGCCCAGCACTTTCCCGAATGGCAAGAGAGTGAAAGCAGGAGGCAGGTAAGAGATTGCTCTGGTCCTTTGGGCATGAATAGCAAGAACAGATCTGCAGAAATGACAAGCTTGATGAGTGATCCTCAACTGACCTATACTGCTTTACAGTAACTGAGGATGAGGCCATCAGAGTGTTTGTTTCCAGGCATGCGGAGTCACAGGAGCTGTGTTATTTTATGCTCACAGAGAGCCCAGCTCTTAGAGATCACTGCTGTGGTCTTACTTGCTGCTTGTATCCTGAAACTCTCTTTCAAACATGGCATGAAATAACTATAAATCAGGGAAACTTAAGACAAGTGATCTGCAATACCATCAACACTGTATCAAGCAAATAAAACTAGAATTTGGAGATTTAGAGAGGTCTCAAATGAGTCAAACACACACCTCGCTCTGTACTAGGAGTACTAGTACCATTTCTTGTTCTGGTATCACAGGTGCCTAAAAACACTCTGTCTTCTCTTATTACACGTGCAAACAGCACCTGGCATGTTGTGGGGAGAACCACCAAAATAAAAAGAAAGGAATAACCTTTTTATTTGAAAATACAGTCTTACTATTTGTGTAAGAACAAATGTCTGAACAGTCCAGGGAAAGCAAATCCCAAGCCTCCCTATTGTAACTGGAGATAACATATTAATAGTGTTTCCACATCCTCCTGTAAATAAGAAACAATACAAAAATCTTGGCCTTCTCTCTGCCCAAAAAAAAAAAAAAAAAAAAGAACCAAACGAAGTATCTTGCAACTTAGAATTTTTTGAAATTTCCTTACAGGAGAGGCATCGTTCACATGTTGGTTTACCTTCCTGTCTCATGTAATTCAAGTCACTCATAATTTGTAGAAAATATCTTTGAAAAGTTTGTAAACATAGCTGCCACAGTAGTCCAGACTTCTTTTCAGCTCATTTTGGAGAAGTTTTGTCAAAACCTGGGATTTAGATTTGGTTCCAACTCTAGCAAGACAAGCAGTTTTGTTATTTCAAAACTGAACTTGCATATTTTTGGTTCTGCTTCACTGAAGATTTCTGTAACCAAAAACTATGAGTCTATATATTGGATGACACTGTTTTTTTCCTGTATAGCATTGTTATCAAAGTCATAATCACGATGGGCAAGATTGTCATGGATAGTCAGAGTCAGCTCAATACAAGACCTCTCCAGTGGAAAACAGTGCAGTAAACTTGAACTGGACTCTGCACAAACAAAAAGGCATAAACGGGTATGCTGGCAGCAGTGCTTATAGAGCCCTGGGCTCTGAAAAAAGCAGGATTTCTTTGAACTTTACAGATAAAATTTCAGTAGTTCAGCATTTACACCAAAAAAGGCATTTATCTTGACAAATAGATTTGCACTGGCTGCAGGTAGAAAAAGACTTCTTGCCTAGCTTTGGGTAATATGAACCAATACCAATCTCAGATGTGATGAGGAATGGCCAAAATGTGTAAGTCTTCAAAGGTGAAAAGTGCCAACAAAATTGTTTTCAAAGCCTATTTAAGGTTGTTACTACACTAGTAATTTAAAAAAAAATAAAAATTAAAAAAAAAACACACACTAAGGATAGTCAAAGAAAGAGAAGACTTCCACTCTTCTAGGTACATCTCCTGCTGTTTATTCCCCTCTGAAGACACAGGACATCCCTATCAGCTCCATAACTTTAGGCTTTTTTTTTTTTTTAAACTATACAAAGGATTGATATTTCAGGTGGAAAATAATCAACAATAGCAGACACTATACAACTTGCTCAAAAGGAAGGAAGTTAACATTTGCAGCGGTGGGACTGGGACTCGGTCTTTTTGCGGTTTATTTTCCTGACTCCTGAATCATGTGACATTTGGTAAGAAAATGAACTTCTCACTGATCAGAAGGGAAAAGAAGAAGAAAAAAAAAAAAGGAATTCTGAATTTTTTCCCCCAGAATCTTCGCATGGGTCTTCTATTCCAGCATTCCATGACAAAGCTGGGAAAACTTGTGCTGACATGTCACAAGTGACCTCTCACAAACCTCCGCTACGTAGAAATGCAGCATAAGACTCAGAAGCTAGCCAAGCCCTACGTGACCACGGCTAAGTGACAATACCACTACAACAGCAAAAGCAGAGAATGATCAAACCAAAGAGACAAAGAGGCAAACGTGGCAAGAAAAAAAAAGAAACAAGCAGACACAAAAGGGACAGAAGAGTTAATAAGGATAAGAAGGGAAGGAAAGATGCTCTCCATCTGAGGAAGAGGGAAAGTGCAATAATTTGAGGAGGTTTTTTTATGTTTATAATGTAGGTCACTTCCTTCAGTCTTCATTTTATTCATTTGTTAAACAAGACAACCCCACTTATTAATCCACTGAAACAATACAAGGCTTAAGTCCCCATCTGTGCAGCGTTTTCAAATCCTCAAACAAAAGAGGCAAGGAAACTCAGTATTTTGCCCATTAGCGTCCATTGTAGTAACAGGTATACCAAGATCACCACAGGGTTAATCGTGTGTATAGGCAGACCTTTTGTGCAAACAAAGTTTCCACAAGGAAAAGCTTCACTCTCGGCACTAACATAACAAAACGATGCTGCAACCTCTATATACTGTGTTCTTACATTAAATAACATAGAGGGGATCGCTGCAGGCAAAGTAAATTGACTGCAGATCTCCCACCTGGTGAGGATATCAGGAACGTAATCAACACCAAGACAGGCAGAAAATGAAGTGAACTTAAATGAAGTAGACCAAAAGACTTCCAAGAAAAACTTGCAAGTTTGACTAAGTTCTACTCCTGGCTATACCATTCACGCATTTTATGACCTCGTGCAAATCACTTCATATCTTTTTTGTCTCAGGACCTCTCATCATCTCCCATTCATGAAAAGGGGATGAATGCCTACTACTCTCCACAAGAGCAGCTGGAAATCAAAATATAGGCATAGTAGGAACGCATGTGATTAAATACTCACTGCTGGAACTTCCAGGAGTACCGAACTGGGAAGTATCAAGGAACTTTCGAGGTGTAGACAAGTTAGTAACATCCATAAGAGGTACAGGAGCGGCATCTTTCACAAGTGAACTGAACAAGGGGGGAAAAACAGTAAAGCAAACAATTTACTATTACTTGCAATCCTAGTTCGTAAGAAGAGCATTTATTGCTTAAACTCGTCAGCCTAAGCACTAGAAATAGACACATCAATAGCAGACAGTTTGAATAGACAGGTTTACATTCCACAAAAAAAAAATTAAAGCGCAAGTCCACAGATGGATATACGCCTATGGGTGTGTATATATACATTTCGGGGGGAGGGGAAAACCCACAAATCAATGATGAGGCAACACTAGCAGATCAAAGACTAAATCTGGAAGCTCAGGGCCACTCTAAATTCAACAGGACTCCAGGCCTGTCTGACTGGTGGCAGCGGCAGGATCGGGGCGCTAACACACTGGAGTTTGCCGTAGCATGTCCGTGCATCTCCTTCACAAACATGCAGGGCAGAACAAGTATGCAAGAGAACATATGAAGCCTCTCCACAAAGGAGAGTACTTAGTTATCTCACAAGTATGTCATTCACCTCCAGCACAATTAACCTATGCTTGCATGACGATAAATTGACATGGAATAGTTAAGATCTTTGTGGGGAAAACACGTATCGAGGAGAAGAAATGCTCCCATTTCTGTGGCTTCTGTCAACCACTTAATCCTTCAAGATCCCCCTGAAAACCTCCACCCTTTCTCTGCCCCTTCAAATTCCTGTTCTGTGCACACCTACATGCATCCCTTTCTAAAAGGATCTTCATACTCAGAAAGGAAACGTTATCTACTTGGCTGTTTCCATAATAAATTCACACAGTGTTATTTGCCAAGAACGTGTCATGCTGCCCCGGCTGCATAATGAAAGGCAATAAGCTGAATGTGGCAGGGGAATACAAGCAAGAAATCATTTTTTTTTTTTAAGAGAAAGTGGAGAGGGCTCCTATAAGGAGTTTGCTATGTTCCCTTAGAGGTCAGAATACTTAGCAAAACCTGCAAAGTCAAGGGCTAGCTAAACTTCCTAACCTGCAGAAGAACCACCTATACTCTCTACACACCTACAGTCCCAAATTTACCTGGGCATTCCACTTCAGCAACGTTAAATGCAACGCACTTAAAAAGAATACAACAAATAACTTTACTCATAATTGCTTCCTGGTCCTCAGCCAGCCTAGGGCAGCACACTAAAATGAAGAAACAAGACTGTCCTTGATCCAAGAGTTCAGATTATAAAATATCAAATGATGCACAACAGGGAATGCGGAAAAGACAGAAAGCAAGGAAAAGATAAGGGTCCCTGTAGCAGGCATACGCAACTGCAAGTTAATTAGCAAATGCAGAGTATGGGCACAGCAAAGCTTTTTGTCTGTTTTTAATTAACAGCATGAGTAAGGAAAAGACTGAGGACTTGCTAACAACCCTCCTTCCTAGAAATTTTAACTTCAATCAGTCCTTTATTTCCTAAATTTACTTAACGCAGCTTACTATCTCTCCTTTTATTTTGCGATAAACATTTTTTTTCCGTCTTTCTCAAAATAAAATGCCAATTTATCTTTTCTCTGCATCTCTATCATATGCTGTCTCCTCTTCTGCTTCCTGCCCTCATTACCTCTTCCATCTATAAAAGTTACTGCCTAAAGCTGTTTCCATTTTCTAGCCAGCGTCTTTCTTCCCAACAGCTCCTCTACTGCCCTCAAACTTTGAATTTGCAAGATTAGACCAAAAAACCCCCAGATGCCTATACCTGAGGTGAATTTCCACCGATCAGAGGCACCAACCACATAAGGAGCCTCAAAACCTTAAAAACCCTCAAAATAGAACCAAGTCTGGTAAGACACTACTAGCTCTGGCTAGTAACCCTATGGTTTGCTGGAAGCCTTTTAAAGCCAGGCACTTTGCTAGATAAGATGAGCACTTCTTCCCTGTGTTCTTCCCTTTGCTTGACCTCAGCCCTCCTGAGCAGGGTGTCTGTAGGGAGGGTGTATGCATCACAAAAGGAAAAGAATGCTAAAAGGAACTGACCTTGCCATAATTCTGTGCGAAGCAGCAAAAAACAAAAACAAAAAAACCCAAAAACAGAATCACTGAGCAAAGGCACAACTAGAACAGACTGTTCACAGGCTCAAAAACATATCAACATACTTTGTTTTTTATGTTCTTCACAGACATGAATGCTAGGAAGCTGCTTGCCAACCTACCCAAAAATGAAAGGTTGAGGCATAAAGTCAATGGCATTTTCTGCTTGCCAAGGGGGAGGTGCTGCCCTCTTACCTTCCTAGCCTTCAGCAAGCATCACACAACACCAACCTTATTCTCCCTTTCTCCCTGTTGCGTTGTCCCACTCGGTTAGTTGATTTGATGTAAAGATGACGGTGTAACTCATCTATCAGGACCAAATGCATGTTCATTTTCTTACTGTGGAGCTCCAGTCTCAGATCACTTAGTCCCTCCACCTGAAGGAGGGGACCCTCCAAGGAGTCCACTGCTGACACCTGGAAGTAAAATAAACATGGTTAACTTTAAAAGGTCACTTAATTCATCTTTGATTGATGCTCCGCTCTTCTGGTCTTTCCATATATCCACAGGACTTTTTTTCTCTGGTTAGAGGAACGTCTAAACACCATGACGATTCTAAACAAACACCCTTTTAGAGTAGAAAAAGTTTGAGTATTTCTTTGTTTATGCTCCTACAAGAAAACCTAACACATAGAAAGGCTCAGAGATTCAAATAATTCATATTTAATGAGCATTCTTCAAACATTTTAAATATGTGCATAAAGTAAGCTATTTTAAACACTTTTGTTAAATAAAATCAAAGCACAGAGAACCAAAAAAGAGGATTATCAAGAGGAAAAGTGTTGGAAAAAGAGATTGGCAATTATGTTTGAGCATCCTTATTTTTTTTCATTACAGCAACATCATTATTCCCTTTTCTACAGATGGATAGAAATGGCTTAAGTTTTATTTGCCTGAAGTGATATTTTGACATACCTGAAAAAGCTTAGGACTCCTCATCTTCTAGCCTACGTAAGTGCTGTACCATGTAACTACACAATCTAAATAAACACAGCCAGATTAATGAAAGCTCTTGCTAGTTCAAAGTACTATTGCTACCTGAAAGTACTTTTCAACTCTAAAGAGCTTTTTTTTTTTTTTTTTTTTTTAAAAATGTTTGATTATTAAGTCTCAAATTGAGGAAAAAAAATTTACACAAGCAACAGACTAACAGGCAAGGATCTAGGTATGCAGTAATGTAAAAGGGCCTTAGGTAGCGTTCTCCACCGACGTACTTCAGTAGTGACCGGCTGACACCTAGCTGGCACTAGAACGAAAAACCTAAATAATTTCCATTTACATCCTAAAAATGAACATGGACAAGAGCCACTGAGAATGACAAATTAATGCATCAAAGCAACATTATCAACTTGCATCTCTCCTAGTTTACTTGCTTTTCTAAATATTTCAGTTCTTCCAGAGTTATTTAAGAAATATGCCATTCCCCTGCAGGGTCTAAAACATCAGCGTTGCTGTTCTAAGAAACTTGCTACAACCATAAAAGCTGACTTGTTTTGCTGACCAGCATCCTTTACTGAGAGAGAAGCAGAGATTTAAAAAGTTATTTTAAAAAGTCATTTCCCTAATAATCGAAGATATTATTACTGAAACAAGCCATTTGCTTACACTTCAGGATTTAAGTTGATAGTGAACCTGTCAGCTAAGCATAAAAATGAAAAGCAAGTAGATCCAGTCAGCAGACAGCTAAGCTAAGGTCTGGTCCCTTAATACCAGTAAATATTAACGATACTGAAAGAACATAGATCAACATTGTGTTACTTCGTTTGCCTTGGAGTCAAGAATGACCCTGAAGTAGCTTTGGGCTAGTCAGACTTTTTAATATTAAAATAGTTTCTAAGAGGAAGTTGCATTTCTTCTTTCCGCCTGAAAAATGCTGTGAAGTCCCTAACTGTGAAATTCACTTCTCTTCATGGATGACCAGAGCTTGCATTTGGTAGAAGTAAGCATAAGCGATAATTTTATCTTCTCCTTCGGCAGGCAGAGGTGTACCCCAGAAGTCTCCCTCCCAAAGGTGCTTTACATCCATAACCCCCCGCCACTTCCGGAGAGCTGCAGGCGTTCGGCGCTGCCCAGGAAGCGGTCAGCAACCTCACCAAAGCACGAACAAAATTAGGAACAACTTTTGTTAAACTGAGAGGCAGACAGATGAAAACACAGTGAGGAAAGAAGAAAAGAACTGAAAGCAAAGAAGAAAAATACATTAAAATGGTTCCGAGACATCCAGGAGAAGTATCATCTAAAACACGTGCAACAAAAACGTAGCGCTTCCACCTTCTACTCAGATCACTCAGGCTCTGTTTTCACATTCCCAGTTTCTAAAAAGTTAGCTATCCTCAAAACTAATCATTAAAAATCAAGAGAGAGCTCTCAAAAATACCTTCCGAAAAAATAAATAGAGCAGTAAATCATTTACTGCACCAATAAAAAAAATTTGTTATGGACTGAACTTTCTTCTTCCAGAAAAAAAAGCAGTTTGGGTTTTTTCGTTTGTTTTTTTGGAAGGCCTTTGCGACACTTTGTTTTTGCAGCCAGAGAACCTGGAAGTTGCATCCTCGATAAATGCCACTTTCACAGCAACTGAACTCTACAGGTAAACAACACAGGCTAGTTTCCGTGTTATGCACACTTGGAGTCTTTTAACTTAATGCAGCCACACTCCAGCAAACCCTCACTTAACCACTGTTTTCTTCCCCGATATTTCATTTCCCAATACCACCAATTATCAAGACAGAGCTCAAGAGAAAAGCTTTTACGCTTAGAACATTTTGGGTCTGGAAAATAACTAGCGGCTCAGTCCAAGTTCATGGAAGTGAAGATAAGGTCTCGAATTGACTGAAGTGACAACTGGCAGAGAGGTTACATAGAAATGTTTTTCCCTTGGGCAGTTTTACTTATATAAAGATGTCTCAAGTCCTGACAACAAGTAAGCTATAGAATAGTACCCTAGTTTATATTTCAAAATACCAAAAAAACATGATCACAACATTTGTTTCTAATTTGTATGCTGTATAACTTACCATAAAGTGGGAGCATAAGCAACTAAAATGATGCAAAGATGTCTATAAAGCATGCACAACATTAAAAATAATCTAAAGAGAGATCTGAAAATGTAACTGCTATGAGTAAAAAACACTGTCAGATTTATATTTCACTCTACTGTCCTGGCAAAGATGAGTTCTTACAACTCTGCTACTCATTTTCAGCAAATAACCAAATTGTCATTGATGCGTTCTAAACCAAAAAAAACAAACAAAAAAACTTTGTTGTCCCGCAGTGAAGAGATGAAGAGTTAACACAGGTGGATGTACAAGAAGGGGATGCAGTAAGTGAAGAGGAAGGACAATAATAACGTTAGCTCTATTGACTATGTGGAAATACAAGCAGAGGTAACTTAAAGTTGCCTTTATTTAAAGTCCAAACATCCATCTAGGTGACACTTGTAAGACGGACAATGATCTTGAGAAACAGTAAGGTTTACAAAGGGACTTGGAAACTCACCCTGGGGTGTCGCCTGCCAGCACACTCAACGCGAGGCAGCAGCCAAGGGGAACGAGAGCAGGACCAGATAACAGACCTCTTAACTGAACTTACAACTGGGACTATTACTGTCCAACACCGGCAAGGCTTAAATCAAATCAGAATGTTATGCTCCCATCTCAGCTAGGAACATGCCATCTCTCGCTTTATGCAAGAGACCCAAACATACAATAAAAGTAATACCTTCAACTTGGAAGACCTCAGAGTCTTTGCTTGCTGCTGTTCCATCCACTCATCACTCAACTTGTATATCATTTCGACTAGTTAGTTGTCCTTAACCTTTTCTCATTTCAGACTTTGGTAAGGAGAACGTAGATGAGTGTGAGACGACTTACAGTAAAGCACAGCACACAGTAACAACCTGTAGCGGCACAACACAAATACTCCTTAAAAATGTACTGCTGTTCCTCAAGTTGGCACTGATTCCTCCAATAAAACAGAACTTTCATTTAGGCGACAAACCTCTTCTTTCTAGATCTCTTATTTTTACTGCAGATAATGCTTCCCTGATTACTGTATAAAAAACAAATCAACAAAAAGGTGCTGTTCTAGAAAGAAACTTCAAGTGTTAGGGTGGATGTATTTGTATTGCTGGCACCACTTTCTAAATTTACATTTTAAAAGGCAACTGTTCCCTTCCCACTCGAATAATAAACTTAAGGACGTTACACCGAGCATCTTTTTTCTATTTCTAGGATGGTCCAGCTTTTCTCATTGCTATCTTCTACTAGATTTCTGTGCTTCACAGTGTTTGGTGTACACCAAAATTAAAAAGTATGTGAGCCACTTTGCATAGCACTTGCCTTCAGGGTAGCAACGAGGCCAAAAGCTATCCGCCACTACTAAGACGTGACCTCAAAGGTACTACGACCTGGTCTGCACGTATTTTGAATGAAAAATTATTGTGATAGCTCTGGAGCGCTCTGTGATCACTGGGTAAATGCAGACTTGTAACGGCAGCAAGCGCAGACTTCAAATTTTTCTGGTAGAGTAAGTCAGAAAAACACTCCTTGAGAATCTGCATTTATGTCATCAATAGGATAAACTACTTTAGCCTGGCAGGGACCTCTGGAGGTCTCCAGCCCAACGTCCTGCTTGAAGCAGGGCTAACCTCAAAGTTCCATCAGGTTGTTCAGGGCCTTCGGTCAAGTTTTGTAAATCTGCAAGGATGGAGATTCACAGCCTCTCTGGTCCCCTCTTTTAGTCTTTAACCACTCTCACGGGGCAGAAGTTTTTCTGTACGTCCACCCGTTTCCCCACTGAAAAGTGTGGCTGTTGCCCCTCATTCTTTCACTGTGCACCTGCGAGAGGGGCCTGGCTCCATTTTTCCTGCAACTCTTTCAGATAATCAAAGACAATAAAAATTCCCCCTTCTCTTCTACAGGCTGAATAAACCCCCATTACCACAGCCTCTTCCTCATGCGTCATATGCTTTTATCCCTACCAACCTTGGGGGGATCTCCACTGGACTGTGTGCAATACCTTTCCGGTAGTAGGGAACCCACAACTGGATGTGGTACTCCAGATGCAGCCTCACAAACGTCCAGTCTTCTCCCTGGATCCACTGGCTATGTTCCTACCATGGCACCCTGACCGATCACGATGGCGATACAGTGCACTTTTGCACAACATGGTATCACCTGAGAAGTCAGCAGAAAAACTGAACCTTGTTTGAGAAATGTGAAGCCACAAGGAGGAAGATGTCACAATGTGTTTGGGGTTTTTTTGTTTTGTTTTTAACATATAAGCAGCGCAGCTTTTTTGTGAACTGACTGGGCGTTCCTTCTTCCCGCTGCAGTGCATGTAAACATCCATTTGAAATCTCTCTCCTTCATCTCAAACGGGCTGCTGTTTTCCCTTAGCCATTGCCACAGAGCAC